CTTGATAGTTTTACTAACTTTCCCACTCTTTAACTTCAGAATGTTGAGGACTAGTATATGATATAAAGGGATGGGAATTTATCGGACCAAACACTCATATATATATACTAACCGAAGGAAGTAACTTACTTTGGAAGATGATAGCAAAATACTCAACTATCACTTGCTGGAACTAGTAGCTTAAATGGTACGATTATAGGGCTGCAAAGTTTGGGAAAATTTGATCCCAACCCATTACTTATATTAAGACCAAATGGATGACAAGGTGGAGATGTGGCCTTCTCTTAATCTTGACACTTGCCAACTAATTAGATAAATTATGGGTGACTAATCTCCCATTTTACCTTCTTAAAATGACATGTGTCCTTACTTAAGGAGGAGGAAAATGACTCCCAACTTAAGACATTACTTTGCCAAACCGTACGACTTTTGAAAAGAATTGGAAGCATTAACACGGCCTAATGACTTTGACTAGTGATTAATATTTAATTAATCACCTACTTATGCTTAATTAACTTTTAAGCATAATACTTAGTTACAAAAATTATTCCGAACGTAAACGGTACGTCGAAAATAATTTCCGGTAATCTCGACTGAAAATAATTAATTCCGAAAATAATTATCGATAACATTATCATATCGAAACTAAAACATATTTTATACTAATAAAATAACGGGTTATTACAATCCTCCCTCCTTACAAAATTTCCGTCCTCGGAAATTCAAAACATAACTGATATACATAGGATAAGGAAATATGTACATCAAAACTGAAAATCTGGGAAACTAGCGCGAATATCGGACTCCGCCTCCCAAGTAGCTCTGTGGCGATCCCACTGAATACGCACGAGGGGAAAATCTCGCTTCCGGAGCCGACGGACCTGTCGGTCTAGTACAGCTACCGGTCGCTCCTCGTACGAAAGATCTGGCTGAACCTGAATATTCGAATGAGGAATGACATGATCGGGGTTGCACACGTATTTACGCAACATAGATGCGTGGAATACATTATGAATGCCTGATAACTCGGGAGGTAGGGCTAATGGATACGCGACCTCGCCCAATCGCTCGAGAACCTCGAACGGGCCGATGAATCGAGGGTGCAGCTTCTCTCTCTTTCCGAATCGAACGACTCCGCGAATCGGACGAACTCTGAGAAAAGCTGGCTCGCCAACCTCGAACTGAATATCTCGTCGATGATGATCGGCTGAAGATTTCTGTCGACTCTGAGCTGTCCTGAGTCTCTGCCGGATCAACTCGACCTGATCTGCCGTCTCCTCGATCAACTTAAGACCGAGTACTCGTCGCTCTCCGACGTCGTCCCAATAAAGAGGGGAACGACACTTGCGACCGTAAAGTGCCTCGTAAGGAGCCATCTGAATGGAAGAATGATAGTTGTTGTTATACGCGAACTTTGCGTACGGTAACAACAACTCCCACTTAGCACCTCTGTCAACAACCAAAGCGCTTAGCATATCCTCAAGTGTCTGAATGGTCCGCTCGGACTGACCATCTGTCTCCGGATGGTAGGCTGAACTGAACTCTAGCTTCGTGCCCATCGCCTCATGTAAACTGTGCCAGAATCGACTAACGAATCTGGGATCTCTGTCTGATACTATAGATACGGGCACTCCGTGGAGTCGGATGATCCCACGGGTATATATCTCAGCCAACTTGTCCAGAGGCATCCTCATCGAAACGAGTAAGAAATGCACGACCTTAGTCAACCTGTCGACCACGACCCAGATAGCGTCGTGATGTTCAGACGACCTCGGTAATCCCGTAACGAAATCCATCGTGACTTCCTCCCACTTCCACCTCGGAATCGGCAGTGGCTGCAGGAGGCCGATCAGACTCTGAAGTTCGGTTTTGACTTGCTGATAGGTAAGACACCTCCTAACAAACTCGGCGACGTCCTTCTTCATGCCTCGCCACCAGAACGACCCTTTCAGGTCATGATACATCTTCGTGCTCCCGGGATGGGCCAGATAGGGTGCGGTATGAGCTTCTGATAAAATCTCCTTCCGCAACGCCTCGACCTTCGGGACCACGATCCTGCCTCTGAACTCTAAGGCACCATCGGCACCTAACTGAAAACCCTCGAGGCCTCCGGCGCGAACCTTGGCCTCCATGACATGAATGAACTCGTCAGAAGCCTGCTCTCGCCGGATTCTTTCTCTCAGCGTCGGCTGAAGCTGCATGGCATTGACACTGGCACTGGTACTCCCCGAAACGGATGTGGGAAGTGCATCGATCGCCTGAAGTTGCATCCGGGCAAACTCTTGAATCAACAGACTCTGCTGAGTAATGACGTACGTCAAGTCACCCTTCACCTTTCGGCTTAGGGCATCCGCAACGACGTTCGCCTTTCCCGGATGATACTGAATTGAGCAATCGTAATCCTTGACGAGCTCGAGCCAACGGCGCTGTCTCATATTAAGCTCCTTCTGCGTAAAGATATACTGCAGGCTCTTATGATCTGTGAAAATCTCGCAATGACCGCCGTAAAGATAGTGTCGCCAAATCTTGAGAGCATGAACGACTGCGGCTAACTCCAAGTCGTGCGTCGGATAGTTCTGCTCATGCGGCTTAAGCTGACGTGAAGCATACGCGACGACCTGGCCATCTTGCATAAGGACACATCCCAAGCCCTGTCTCGAAGCATCACTGAAGATGGTGAAACTCCAAGAAGGATCGGGAATAGTCAACACCGGTGCTGAAGTTAACCTTCTCTTGAGCTTCTGAAAGCTCGCCTCACAACGATCAGTCCACTCGAACTTCACAGACTTCCTCGTCAGCTGGGATAGAGGGAGGGCAATCTTGGAAAAGTCCTCGATGAACCTGCGATAATAACCAGCTAGACCGAGAAAACTGCGAACCTCGGACGGACTCCTCGGTGTCGACCAGTTCTGAACGGCTGAGACTTTGGAAGGATCCACCTCGATACCTGCCTGAGTAATCACATGACCCAGAAAGGATACTCTCTGGAGCCAGAACTCGCATTTGGAGAATTTTGCAAACAACTTTTCTCGTCTGAGGGTTTCGAGAACCACCCTCAGATGCTCCTCGTGCTCCTTCTGGCTCTTTGAGTAGATAAGAATATCGTCAATAAAGACAATAACGAACTGATCGAGGTAGGGATGAAAAATACGGTTCATGAGGTCCATGAAAACTGCTGGCGCATTGCTGAGCCCGAATGGCATGACTACGAACTCGTAATGGCCGTAACGAGTCCTGAAAGCAGTCTTAGCGATATCTGACTCCTTAATCTTCAGCTGGTGATAGCCTGATCGTAAATCAATCTTCGAGAACACACAGGCTCCCCTCAGTTGATCAAATAAGTCGTCGATCCTGGGAAGCGGATATTTGTTCTTGATCGTCAACCGGTTAAGATCCCGGTAGTCGATACACATGCGCATGGATCCGTCCTTCTTCTTAACAAAGAGAACGGGTGCTCCCCAAAGTGACACACTTGGTCGGATGAAACCGAGTCGTAATAGCTCCTGAATCTGCGCCTTAAGCTCCTGCAACTCCTTTGGCGCCATACGGTACGGGGCTTTGGATACTGGACCGGCTCCTAGAATGAGATCGACTGAGAACTCCACCTGCCGGTTAGGCGGTCCTCCTGGAAGTTTGTCTGGGAACACGTCCACAAACTCACGAACGACTGGAACATCGTGAGGTGAACGTGCTTTCTGAGAATTGTCGACAAGGCTCACCAGATAACCCTGGCAGTTGCCTCGTCGCAGCAACTTAGTGGCTTTCGCCATCGAAACAACATGAGGCACTGAACGATTCCTGGAGCCAAAGAAAGTGATCGACTCGTCTCCCGGAAGATAGAGAGTAATCTCCCGGTCATGACATCTGATATCAGCATGATAAAAGGATAGCCAATCTATTCCGAGAATAAGGTCGAAGTCCCTCATCTCAAGAACAAACGCGTCGGTAGACAAAACTCGGCCACCGATGGAAAGGCTAAGATCTGAAGCTTTAGCTGAAGTCACTATCTTTCGTCCCGAGGCTAAACTCACCTCGAGAGGATCGACAGCGGTAACAGCATGAGCTCCGATGGCATCAAGACATCATCGTGAAATGAACGAATGTGTTGCTTTAGTATCGAACAAAGCGAAAACAGGAATATTATTAAGCACAACCATCCCTGACATAGTATCTGGTTGCTGTGCTGCCTCCGCCTGATCAACCGCGTAAACCCGGGCCTGCTGTCTGCCCCTCTGCTGCTGCTGAGGCAGCCTCTGCGCCTGCTGACGTGGCTGCTGCTGCTGTGGCGGCTGCTGAGGCTGCTGAGGCTGCTGCTGAAGTCTCTTCGGACAACGACTCGCAAAATGTCCAGGTTCGTGGTAGTAGTAGCAAATGTCCTGACCCATGTGGCACTCTCCCCGATAAAGTCGTCCACAAGTCGGGCACGGTGGAACCTGCTGCTGTCTCTGTCGGGTCCTCCTGTCAGTCTGAGCACCCTTCCCTTTTCTCTTCTTCTCCTTTGCCGGCTGAGCAGCTGGTAGAGCTGGTGGAGCTGGGAATGGCTGAACTGGGGCAGATGGCTGGGCATGATCACGGACGGCCTCCCTCCTGATGCTAGCGTCCACCTCCTGGGCAATAGAAACTGCACGAGCGTAGGTCTGTGTCCCGTGTTCCACAATGTTATGACGGACTGCTGGGTAAAGCCCGTCGATGAACCGCTGTGCTCTCTGGGTCTCCGTGCGAACCAGGTCCGGAACGAAAGCTGCAAGCCTACTGAACTCTCGCTCGTACTCATCAACAGTACGAGTGCCCTGCTGGAGCGATAAGAACTGACGCTCCATCTCTGCCCGATAATAAGTGGGGTAGTACTTCTCGCGGACTAGCTCCTTGAGCATATCCCACGTACATCCCGCTTTTTCACCGAGACGCATGCTCCAGTAGGCATTCCACCAGAGCCGTGCATCACCAGTGAGCTGAAGCTGAGCACAGATTACGCGATATCTATCAGGACAGTCCATGACCTCGAAGATAAACTCCAGGCCATGAATCCATTCGTCTACAATGCGGGGATCTCCCTGCCCTGAGAACTTTTCAGCGTGATAGTCGCGGAACTGTGCGACTACGGTGGCCTGAGTAGGAGCCGGATGATCGGGTTCCCTACGTGGCGGCATCTGAACATTGAGAAAGTTTAACATTATTGAATACGTGATAACATTCTGACTGATTACGAAGGCACACAGATCTCTTGACGAGTTGCCAAAAATGGCCGATAAATACTGACATGAATCCTGAAGAACTCTAGAGTCATATCGGAAGATACTAAATTCTAGAGTCATATCCGAATATCCTGAATTCTAGAGTCATATCCGAACTCTAAAGTCGGAACCTGATTCGAGCATCTTAACTAAGTCCTGATCCATAATTCTGAGCATAGACACAGTAATATGTTTATAACTGAAAACATAAATCAGTACTTACCTGTAGTCGGCGGGGCGTGAGCATGACGGTTCAGGTTTTTTTTTTTTTCTGAGAATTACGGACTGAAAAACTTTTCAGAGACGCAGAAACATGCTCTGATACCAATTGTAACACCCCGCCTTATCGTGAAATCAGAGTGCGAAAATTTCGCAAAGTCTTTGAAAAATAAAATCTTTTACTTTGCGAAAACTGATTCGGGGTGCTACCGTAAAAACGTGACTTATTTTGGAAAACCGTTATTTTAAATTTTTAATAAAATCATACGATTACTGAAAGCATAAATTTTCCAAAAGTCCGGTCAAAATATAAGTTCATCAAAACCATCATCAGCGGAAACGTAAATCGTCATAATATTTATACACAGTCAAACATAAAAGTCCTGAAGCCTCCGTCATCTCACGCTCCCGGCCCGACGTCCTGACCTGAAAAACATGATAACAGTGGGAAATGAGCACTATAACACTGTGCTCCGTGGAAACTCATACTAATGTAAACATTGAAAATAATAACAACATCATGATCTTGGCATATACATAACCTCAACATGAAACCGGTAATAACATGAACATGAATCTGATATCGTCACGCCAACGTGACCCTGACCGTTACCTCATCTGCCGGCAAGGACTAATGCCAGACACCATGTGCACACTCTAGTGGGTAGACTAGGGCCACTAGAACCCAGAATGGACCGGCGACCATTCCGAGCGGATACATGACATGAAATACAAACCTCAAACATGGTACCGTAATTATAATCAATGTAGTACTTAGTCTGAGTCCCCACCTGATCCGTGAAAATAAAGGCAATGCTGATACTCGTGACCTGATCAAACTGAAATATAATATAAACAATTACTAATGACTATGCTCAGACCGTTAACTTGACTGATTAATTACGTTAAGATGCTCTACTGAAACTGACATGAAATTTAGACTTAAACCGGAATAACCGGGACTGATCTAACGTGAACTGATCGGACATGAACTTATTTGAACTGAACTGATCCCGGAAAATTTTACTGAAAATGCCATTAAAATCGTGAACCGGGACTAAAATCATACTATACAGGCCGAACCGGTAAAAATAGGACTGAACCGGTCCAGCCGGTCTGAACCGGTCTGGACCGGACAGCCGGTCGGCTGAACCGGGCAGTCGGGTTGGCTCGGCCAGCAGCCTGCCGTGCTGCGCACGCTGGCGCTCTGTTCGAACTGGCTGCAGCGCTGGGGCT